GCAGGAGGAGAAGATGGAGGGCGGAGGCGGGGGGGCGTTGAAACGGGAGGGAGAAACGGAGGTAGGTCGACGAGAGGATGGTGGACGATGGAGTCTAAGCACAGGTCTGCCGGCATTCTCGATATCTAATCGCCATAGCCGGACTGAGCGCGCGGCTGTCACGATCGGGGGGAGGTGGTGGTGTTGGGAAAGGACAAGGGGTTTCGTCTGAGCAGCGCAGACACGGGACTTGGAACGCGGGAAGTGGAACGCAGCCGCGGGAAAAGGGAGGGGAGCGCGCGACAGGAAACGGCAATGGAAATGGCAATGGCAACGGAAATGGGACTGCAGTGTGCGGCACAGAGCGGGGAGCAGTGCTTACGTGTCCATGCCCTTTTAATTTCCTCATTCCTGTCCTGGACCACATCCAACCACTACAGCCGATTTATCCGTGTCATCCTTGCGCATGGGCCATTGGTACAGTACTACAGTGTGGTCTTCTTTCTTATTTCTGTGTATCGTTCCAATTTTAACGAATGTCCCCAAGGGCCCAACCATTACACTGATTGATTTCTCGCTGTTATACTGTAGGTAGGCGACAAAAAGGTCACGCTCTCTCTTCTCATTCTCACTCAACCCATTTGCTTCGCGCGTTTCTCCGGTCCAACGTAGACTTCGTCGCCCCTTCGTTACCTGCTGAGACTGCTGCCTTTTTTTCCATTTTCCCAACGGGAAATTAACTATTCATTACCCACGGTACCCACGGTAGGGCTCCACTGGAAGCAGGCATTTCTTTTAGGATTACGGGGAACCCCGAAGCAGCCACATCCGTGCTCAAGCCTCCAACGAGGGAACATGCGGGAGCTGCACCCACCACCAGCAGGTGCGGTACCTGGTACAACGGGTGGGCGCTACCGGCCAGGGGTCAGCCGGTAGCATCAGGACCTACAGTAGCTTCTTCGATGGGCCAGTCACTGTGCCTCCCCTCCGGTCCCCTACCCCTATAAGCATCAGCAGTCTCTGCTTAATGCCACTCGGAGGGACCAATGGCATATCTCTCGGTGGCGGGCGCCAAGCTTACCCAGGAATGGACATGAGGCCAGTGGGGGATTGAACCCAACACCGCCTGAATGGCACTTGTGTGCCTTACCAACTGAGCTAGGCCGCTGGATACGAAGCAGGCATTTCATTCATTCTGCATTACGAAAAAGATTGAAAAAAAAAAAAAAAAAAAAAGATTATAGAATAATTATGTTATGCGCCCATCTCTCTCTCAAAGTCGAACGAAGCAAGCTACAGAAACCTGTTGACCTCGCCATCTGCCGGGGGCAAGGTCCCACTTGCACGGATTAATAGATTCTGGCCGTTGATCCCTGCTATCTACGGTCAATATCGCGTAATTCGTGTAAGTGGGACCTAGCCCCGGGATTCAGAACTTGCTCATAGTGGCCTTTTCCGACTGGCCTCCCTTGTCCCGCGTTTGATAAGTCTGCGGCCCGTATGGGATGCGTTCATACACGCGGAGAAGGTTTTTTTCGATGTTGGGTCTACCTGTTGGTGGACGGGTGCGCATTTCTTCGGGGCTGGGGTTTGGAGAGGGGCGAGGAGCCGTTTCCGGCTGGAGGGCCAGTCGCGGGAAATTCGCAGCCCTTAGGCTGCGGTATAGTGGGCTTCGGCGTCTGTGTCAAGGTGTCGCATTTTTGGCGGCGGGCGACCAGGACGCAAGTGGGTTTTTCGGGGGCAAAAAAAATTGGGGGACCGGTCCTTGGCAAAATTGCGGACTACCTACAGCTAGCTCTGGTAGAACTGGGCCTTTTGGAAAAACGAAGGACCGGTCCTTGGGTAGAAGTGGACCCCAAAAAGAAGTGGGGGCATTGGGCCAGTCCTCGGGTAGAAGCGGACCCCAAAAAGAAGTGAGAGCATGTGATCTGCAAAAGGGCCCTCAGGCCCAGGCGTTGAGCCCCGTCTTCTCAAAACAGGGAGGTCAGGCACAACGAAACAGGCGTTTTGCAAGAGGCAACTTTGGCGATTTTCTGTGCTCAGACGAACATGCACAAAAATCTGAAATTTTGAGAATCCATAGATGAGGTCGTGTTCTTTCCAGAAATAATAATAGAACATTTACAAAACCTCATTTAGACTGCGTAATAATTATCGCGCCGATTCAGCACATTTTCCATTTTTGTCACTCAGCCATGCCTGGGCCAACTAAAAAAGTACTCCAAATTCAGTGAGTTTTCACGCTCAGAAGAATGCGTGAAAAAACCTGAAAATTGGAGTACTCGTAAATTTTGTTGTGATCTTTCCAGGACAAACGCTACATAAATTTAAAAAAATCATTCCAACTGCGAAATAGATTGCGGCCGCAATTTGACCCATTGTCGGCCCGAATACCCTTACAAGGGTATTTGGGCACGTATTTGCAACTAACAGGGAGAACGCTTCTGGCGATATCTGAGGGCGCGTCCCGTTTGCATTGATTAGAGAGTGTGTGAGCGGGCACTCTGCGGGTTAGCCTGACCGAGTCTGGGTCGAAGAAGACCAGGAGACAGCGGTAGGACAGGTTAAAGTTAAGCTAGATTTTCGAAGGCAGCCGCAGACCCACACGCACGGTCGGAATGTCGAACGGCGTAAAGATTGACCAAGGAAGGCGGCTACTAAGAGGGGAGCGTTGTCCGACTCACTGGGGACCGGAGGTTCTGGGTCGCACTGCGTGAAATGTCGCAGGCACTAGACGGATCATGCGCCGCCAACAGTAGAAGCCCTGACGAGCTTTTGTTAGGACGGCGTGGGTCGAGGCGGACTGAGTAGAAGTCGGGGTGGGTTTCGGCCCAACGGAGAGTGAACGGGCAACTTCCCGAGGAATACGAGGGAGAAGGGGAGCCCGGCCATAACCATAGTGTGGTGAGGCAAGGTGCACGGCAGGCCTGGGCAGGTTGCCCTTACCCTTTATGAGTAGGGCTGCGCCGGCTGTAACTAGACTTTGCCCTCCAAAGTAGCACATGGGTGCCAGCGGACCCTCGGACGCAGGCTGTAAGTTAGAGAAATGGCTGAGGTACTATTTGCAGGCCTGGGCAGGCTGCCCTTACTCCTTATGAGGAGGGTTGCGCCTGCTGTAACTAGGCTTGGGCTTAGCCCTATTGGTTATAGCACTAAACTTTTACCTTGCAGATCCTGGGATCGAGGCCAGCCACTAGCATCGGAGGAGCGGAGGAGCAAAACAGCGCACTTTGGAGATAAACTGAGGGGTTGAGGGTCCTGCAGAACTATCCCCCTTAGTTTTGATGACGGGGAATCCAACCGCAGGCCCGTGAGGTAGGGCCGAGGCCTAAGTACCAACTGCCTCTCCCCTACTCCGTGTCCTCCTAAAGTTCTCTGCGGTTTTTTTTTTTTTTTTTTCTGTTACCTTTATTTCCTTTATTTTTATACTTTTATTTTTTTATTTACTTTTTTTTTTTTTTTTTTTTTTTTTTTTTTTTTTTATTGGGACTTGGTCCTGGGCCAACCTTAGGGCCAGCTGTGAAGACTCCGGAACCTCGCTCAGTAGATGCACCCATGAACTGTTGGAATACAGATACGTGTTCGGATCCAGACCACGGAGTTTGAGTTTTGAACTACCCCGCCCCGGTCAACTTAGGATGGTACTCCCGTGTCTGTGCCCACGGCTCGTTCTTCGGGACATCCGTTGACGTGGGAACGGTACATAGAAGAATAGCATGGCCGACACCGGGAGGGGGCGCCTATAAAGCCGGGGCACGGCCCGCCATCGGTGTTTGCTGTGACACTTGTCATTGTGTGCCCGTCGGTCTGGTTGATCGTTGGGCGCTGCACTGTAGAGATGTGTATAAGAGACAGACCCCGCCCCGGTCAACTTAGGATGGTACTCCCGTGTCTGTGCCCACGGCTCGTTCTTCGGGACATCCGTTGACGTGGGAACGGTACATAGAAGAATAGCATGGCCGACACCGGGAGGGGGCGCCTATAAAGCCGGGGCACGGCCCGCCATCGGTGTTTGCTGTGACACTTGTCATTGTGTGCCCGTCGGTCTGGTTGATCGTTGGGCGCTGCACTGTAGAGGCAACGAAGGAGAGATACGGGAGGACTAAAGGAGAGAGAGAAAGCGCAGGAGGGCGCTGCACAAAGGGAGCAGGGGCTACGATAACATACGGATGAACCTCGACGCGGTTCCGCGTCAGGTGCATTCGGAGGAGGAGGAAGAAGACAAACGGCGAGGCTAGAAGATATGGCCAAGTGAAGGGCTGCAGCAGGCTTACTTCTTGACCAATTTTGGCAGAGGGAGGTGCTAGCCTGGGGTTTTGAGGCTGGGCGAACTCGCCGGAGGTGGTGGCTGAGGGTAGACTTAGTGAAGAGGGAAGAAAAGGAGGAGAAATGGTGCGCAGTGGTGTGGGGATGGCGGATATGGTCGTCGTGAAGAAGGCAGATCTCGCCCGTTTCTCAACGAAAATGGGCGAGTGAGGACTTAAACTGGGGGTTTCAAACCGTTCTTGGTTGGTTGGCCACGTCAGAAGTTCGATCTGAGGGTTGGTCCGCTTCATACACGTTGCAGGAGTTGCGCCCTCTTTACACGGAAATCAAAGATCTGTATCTAGTCTTTC